TTCTTATATTGTGTTATCAGTGTTGCATATATGTTGAAAAAAGTGAAAAAACAGCATAACTCCCCTAAAAATGGCCTGATCATGCTGATTTTCGAACTTGACCTGCGGATTATGAATATTCATCAGTTTTGTAAGTTTCAAGCCAAAAAGTAAAATGGTTTTCCACTTATCGTGTTATCGGTGCTGCATATATGCTGAAAAAAGTGAAAAAACAGCATAACTTCCCTACAAGTCACCCCATCATGCTGATTTTCGAACTCGACCTGCGTATTATGAATATTTATCAGTTCTGCAGGTTTCAAGCCAAAAGAAAAAACGGTTCTTCACTTATCGTGTTATCGGTGAATGTGCACGACGGCGACGACAGACGCAGATGATGGCTATATGTACAGACACATCTGTGTCTGTACATAAAAAGGTCATTTTGGTTGAAATTCTTGAAATGGGAGGTGCCCAGAAATTCCAGATATTCAAATTTCATGAAATAAAGTTGTTTTTGACCAGAAGTTGTCTCCCTGGCCAAACCTTTTGTTATCTTATCCAGATGTTCAAAATTTTACCCATATTACCGTATTGCACATTTTACTTTCACCACCACAATGTACTTTTGATATAGCATAACTCGTAAACCATATGGAAAACAAAGAAAATGGAGACCACCTCCAGTGTTGGGTTTGACATGCTCGATCAAATACAAAAAACTAGAGGTCTGTAGTATTAACGGTTCCAGAATTAGAGTTTTCTGTTTCGGCATCTAATGGTCGCTGCTCCTGTGAAAATGCACCGATCGCCCCCAAACTAACAGAGATCAAAGATGACCTAAAGGGTAACACCTGCCAATAATATTATAGGTTAGGTCTGTGTAGTCCCTGAACATCAGCACAAATATTTTTTTCGTAAAAAATTCCTTTTTTTTTAATTTTGGTCTGTTTCACCTTGAAATAAAGGTCAAAGGTCAAATCTAAGGGCATATTTGAAATATCCACATGACTTTCAGTCAGCTGTCTATAGAAATGTTTCCCATAATTCCTTCTGTATGGTAGATAATTAGCATTTAATTTTGCCAATTTTGGATAAGGGTGCATTGGAATGAGCGCCACACCTAGACCCCAGCACTGACGAAACCCAAATTTTACGTTGATCGAGTTCAGATTATACATGACTTAAATCCAAGAGATGGGTACGGAGGCCCTTGTAGTCTAGGAGGAGAAGCGGTAACAGTGACATGGCTACGGAGCCTGCAGATGGGACCAGACTGGACGTGACTAAAACAATGTGTACTGCCAGTGCCTACACTGGTGGTACAATAATAACACTAAATATCAACTTCATTGCGGAACATGCTTTAACACGCTATATAATGTAGTTTTTCTTCTGAAAAGGCTGTTACTGAAGAGGACTTGGAGAAAGAACCATAAAACTTCAGTGTTTTATCATTCCATTTCCAAGTCCTTTTCAGAAACTTAGTAATTACCCAATAACATTCATTAAATAGGCAACAGTTCAGTCTCAATTTTGTTCACTTTAGAGTTTTATCGATTGTGAAAATTAATATCATCTATTCCATATCCCACCCCCCAAAAAAGTACCAAAAAATTACCATGTATGCCAGCAAAGTCGGCATCCCCAATTAAAGAGGCTATCCACAGTTCTTGAGCATCTACATCAGCACCTACAAAAGTGTACCCTGGGGGGCATTGCACCATAGCTTTAAGTTCACTGCCTATCCTATCTGACTGGAATCAGAGCAAGCAATATTAAATTATATTTAACTATAGCTCACTTGGTATGTTATATTTAAAACAGCATTTATTATTAATCCCAAAAAATGAACTTGTTCTATCATAATCTATAAAAATAAAGCCATACAGCTGGGAAAAAATTCAATTCAACTCAAAAAATCCAAATACAATGGCATATTCATTAAAAAAAAGTAAACAGCAAGTGAATAAAGAGTTTAGTTTATATGTACCTACATAAGCATTGCTGGCAGTAAGCCATGTTTTCTCCACTGCCCTTCTGGTAACAGTGCCAGCAGTTACGATACGAGGTAAGATGGCTCCACACAGAGTTTCCTCATCATAATCTGGATCACTACAGAGAGTAATTCTTTATAAGATTAATAGAATAACTTTATAAAATTAATAGAATAACAAAAACCACCATGCAAGTAAATTGTAATCCTTTATGTCAATTATCAAATCTGATAACAGAACACACATGTACCTACATATGTGCCTCAAAATATTTATACATTCAATACATTTGAAAAGTGAAATTATTTGCTATGTTTAATAATTATGTATTTATGTTGGGCGTTAACGGGAGTCACCCTAAAAATCTTATGAAAAGGAGTAAAAGAGTGGAGCGTAACAGATTGTGAAATGCGTACCGGCATACCGTGGGCCATATTTGTTTCTGTTTGTCATAAAATTAATTAACATAGATTTTAAGCGTATAGCGTACCGTAACAATAGAATGAGAAAAAAAGACAAGTCGCTTTCGCTTAAAAATTGAAGTAATAAAATCAATATGGCCTTTAATCATACTTGATTCAAAATGGTACAAACATCAATATCACTCAGAAACAATTTTCAATCCGCTTCACTTCTTAAATGAAACTCTAAATTCATGTTAGATTTTCACTAAAGGGAACCAAGCATTTAAGTCATTTTGATTAGTCAACAAAAATGACTACCCTTCATTCCAAGCAAGGGGGGAACCTCTTAAACAAGGCAGTGAAGCTGTCAAATGTACAGACATAAAGCAGAAAAAAATGATGCACAAAATAGGTCACTTTTTCAATTTTGATGCAATATTACATAATGCTTGACAGCAAAACAGCTCCAAATTTTAAAGCAGCATACAGGAGGATACAGGGAGGGTGCTTTCATAGTTGTTGAGATGATATAAGAGTGGTGTCTAAAATTGTTTATCTTAAATAATCATCACCACTAGATGTAAATATTACTCGTCAAAACCTGATTTTAACTTCCATTTTTTGTCCGTTCTTCGCCTTCAGTTTTACGGTATAAACTTGAACATTTCGTCGGAAGAGGATTTTCTGCCGAAGTAATTTTTTTCGTCGAGTTTGATAATGGGCCATCTCAATAATTTTGAAAAGTTTGTCGCATACCTTCATCTCGTTTTCCAACTCAAACATAAAGTAATGCGTCAGCTGATTCAAACGATCAAGATATCATTGACGATAACACTCTCAATGGAAAAAGGAACAATAGTGCGCCACTGCGAGCAGCTACTTACGATATAGATGGTGTAGATGTGGATTCCCGTTTTCAATTGCGGGAACGTCGGCCTTTTGTCTTTTGTGTAATTATTATTATTACCTGGTTCATACACACAAGGTTTGCACAAGAGAAGTCGCATGCTGCGATGCTTTATGTAATGATTTCAATTTGATCGACTGCTGTCCTAAATCAGGAAGACAATGAAAAAATCAAGATATTATCTCCAAGGGAAATGTACTCTATTCATGTCCATTGCGCTATTACTATTACCTAGATAAAAACTGGGTATGCTGGGCTAGATCAATTTCAACAGGTCATTAATTTTGCTTGTTTTGAACTTGGACCATGTATTCATAAATTCAAGTCAAATTCAAGTCCAAGGTATAAACATAAAGTACCCAATGTATGCAATGTATGCAATGTATGAAAGCCACTACATGTATGTATTTCAGATTTCTTGAATTTTAAGTGATATACACCTTTACACCTAAGGTACTACTACTACTATAATAGACAGATACATAAACTAAATCGTTCAGCATGTAAATAATCATCACATTTACATAGACAAATAATTGTATGTTCATATATATATTAGAGGAAGATAATCAGCAGGAGTTTGTACCCAATTCGAGCAAGACGAAAAGTTCATTTTGATATTTGTTTCAAGGGACTTCGTTTGCAGAAAATCGTCAGCGGGAGATAGTTCGCCATCCGAGTGAGATAAGAAGGTAATTCATAACTTCAGCAGGACTCTGTTGGCAGGAGATCGTTCGTGAGACGAGAAGGCAATTTTCATATTTGTTCAAGGGACTTTGTTTGCGGGAGATAGTTAGCCATCACAGTGAGACGAGATGACAGTTTTTATATTTTCAGCAGGAGAACGTTCGTATAAGATCATCGGCAGGAGATCGTTCGTGAGACGAAAGACAATTTTTATATTTGTTCAAGGGACTTCGTTCACAGAAGGTAATTTTCATAACTTCAGTAGGAGATCGTTCGCGTAAGATTGTCAGTTTTTACTGTACGCTGTCTTTTAAAACCGTTTGTGCGCACACAATTCATTCAATGTGCACACACCTTTTACATAATTGTCAGGGCTTCCTAACCCAGCATGACCACTGCATTATTTGACGTTGTCTAAGTGAAAGGTTTCCCAACATTAAACGTCTTATTTACCTCTGTTGACATGCCATTGCCCTCTCTATTATAATCCTACTTTTATTCATGCAAGTTTTCCCTCTTATGTGCTAAAAATTTTTTTCTTGCATCGTCCACTGCATTGACTTGTTAAATTAGGACAGCCACATGGTATGCCTGCTGACCTTAACCGATGGAAAGTATGTTGAGCAGTTTTTCCACACTTCTTCCTGCCCTTTCATTCATATGCTAGTATCTGAGTCAAGTGACATGCAAGGGTAGTTACAATCATGGGATGTAAATGCGATTTTAGTTCTTTAATTTAAAATAGATCTTGTTTATTTGAAGTGTTTGATGCTGTGAAAGTGCTGTTTTTGTGAACAATTTTCAATTAAAACCGCTTTGTATGCCCATTTAAGAATGCACAAACGGTAATACAGACATTAAGAATATGTTACTAACATACGGCGTCAGGCCCATGAGAGTTAAATTTTATGCAATTTATTACAGAATGTTTGAAATGTGAAAAATAACCATTTAAGAAAAAAACTACCATTACTTCAAGAAAAAGAAACTAATCAGACTGGGTTTCCAACTCAAGTTGTATTACATTTTTAAGAATCACTAATGTAAGTTTGAGCACAATAAGTAACACAGTTTTCCTTCATACTGCTTATGGTGGCAGTGCACAAAATAGGACCTTTGTTAATTTGATATTACATAATGCTTCACAACAAAATCAACAACAAATTTTAAGTATGCAGAACAGGTGACAGCGATTTAAAAATATAAAACAAGCGCACGAGAGTTCAAATTCACACAATGAAAATACTAAATGTCAACAAGGCAGCAAAGCTGTCAAATGTACAGACAAAGAACAGAAAATAAAGATGCAAAAAAGGTCATTTTGTCAATTTTGATGCAATAATAAATAATGCTTATAATAGCACTGTCAGTCAACACTGAATTTTAATCTTGCACAACAGGTAACATGGTCAATAACAGGAGCAGACCCAGAGATATTTTCTGACAGTATTACAAAGTATCTATGTTGATCCATCCTCCATTTTGATGGTCTTCCAACAGAAAAAAATAGATACCAGTCAATATAAACTTAATAACCTGACTGTCTTCCGGAAGACCCAGAAGATGGTCTCAATCCACCCCTTCAATAAGATTACAGTTTCAGGACCATGAGAGTTCAAATTCACATTATGAAAGTCTCAATATTTGAAAAATGATGACAGTGCATAAAATAATATTACATAATGTTTAAAGACATAAAAAACAATACAACTGCTTATGTAGAAATACAGAAAATGTGCAGAGCCCCAGGCAGATGAGAG